GTCCTCAATCCCCGGGCTGCGGACCGGTACCGGTCAGTGGATCATTTGGTACCGGGCGCAATGAAAGCAAAAAAAAAAACTTACATTACTTCCATTTTATTTATTTAGGAATCTGAAAGATGTTTTATTTTGAAAAAATACCGGATTCTCTGTTACATCCGTCTACAGTATGCCACTCTTGACACAGGTCAAGGCGCGCTTCTCGGTCACGTGATAGGTTACCGCTAAATTGAAACCTAGGACCTAGCAAAATGAGTAAAAAAAAAAAAAACAAAAACAAAAAGTTCTGGTGAAGGGTACAGGAGACAGAAGAGAAGCCTAAGCCTTACAAGAAAAAGAAGGCTACATTTAATTGACAGTATCAGGAGTCCTACTTAAAATACGGATTTATCTCAATGGGAGATTCCCATACCCCTCTGCATAATATGTGGCGATGGTGAGTCATATTTTTCATGCACTTTGTATTTGCGCTGCATCTTCTTTTGAAGGCACATTTAAACATTACCATAGCGACTAGAGAGTGTTGCGGTCAGATAGGACATTCCTCATCTCATGATTCGTGTTTATTATTTTACGAAAATACCACAGTTTTCATGCAGGTCAAATCACATTATTTTGTTGTATTTATCCGTCACACTTTAAAGGCCGGTTCAGTTCACAATTGTGAACTGATCTCACAAAGACCATTTTGGCTCAAATCCAGATCGTCTCACCTGCTAGTAGCCAACGACAATGCCGTCGTCGATCGCTACTATTGTCATGGCAAACCAGCAAAAGTAATCCTCAATCGTATATTTTTTTTCATCGCTGCGTACGGTCGGATTGATAAAGCATGATGTGCACATGCACGGTAAGCCTTTGTACGGGTTTTTGTTGCTTTGTAAGGGGAATCGTAATCATTTATAAGGGCAGCTATTTGCCGAGGTTGACAGGTATGATTGATTGTCTGACATTAAACCGGTCCGCGGGGCAAAAAAGGTTGGGGACCGCTGATTTAGACAACTTTATTATAGCTGATTTATTTGAACCAATTCTAACCTCATTTCTTTACACTGCTTATTTTGTCTTGTATTATAGGTGTCCAATTGGTCCGTCAAGCAGCCCACCAATAAGAGGACCTCCAAGTCTTCTCTACACCGTCCCTTAGATCTGGACACGCCTACAAGTGAAGAAAGCTCAGCCTCCTTTGACCAGCTCTCTGTTCCAAGTTTTAAGGTTTTTGTATATTATCTTATCAGGATAGTCAGCACATTCAATTAATTATAATTAAAATGTACATCTGCAACCACTATAGACCAGTATGTTAATACTGACACAACTGTTTCAGGTGATAAAACAGGGCCTCTCAGCCAGTTCTCTGTTGGATAGAGGCCTTCAGCTGATGGGAGATAACAACAGGTATTTAAGGCACAATTTTTTTTTTTTTTTTAAATAATCTGCACAGAGCTGCCAAATGTTGTGAATCGGGAAATCTCTGAGCACTAACTTGTACCACTCATAACACTGATTGTTAATGGATATTTTTTATAATCCAGCAACCGAAATTAATGATGCCCCGGGGCCTGTACGGTGCTGTGTCGGGCCAATAAGATGCTTCAGATACTGACGAGTACTACTATTTCTTGTCTTTTCCGCTTGTCCCATGAAGGGTCACCACAGTTTATTATCCTTTTCCATCAAAGTCAATCTTTAGCATCCTCCTTTCTTACACCGGCAGCCCGCATGTCAGCTGTCCTCACTACATCCATCAATCTTCCCTCTGATCTCTCTTCTGGAATGTCCAAACCATCCAAGTCGGCTCTCTCTAACTTTTTCTTCAAAACATCAAACCATAGCTATCCCTCTGATGAGCTAATTTCTTTTTTCTAAGTCACAGATTTGCAATTATATCAAGACCCTTCCCAAGAACCAAAATCAACAGAAAAAAACGTGTAATACCAATGCTGACAATACGTTAAAAACATTCAAGAAATAAAAGAGTAGTGTGAACTAACAGTGTTACTTGACCAAAACATAAATAAATCACCCCCAAAAAATTTTATGGAAAAAGTTAAAAAAAAACAAAACAAAAAACTCATAGTTATTGAAATTATTAAATAAAAACAGCCTCGGTGGACCACTCAAGACAGGAGACATCGCATCAGCAATGCGACCAATTAAAAATGTACCTCCTGAACATACAGCAAAACTCGAATCTATTCATGAAGGCTCAAAAGATGGTTATGGGTCACAGGAGAAAGACCACTCATCCTTTTAAGATTGAAATGTTTGCAGAACTCTATCCATATTATCATGAAATGTGAAACAACAGGATTAGACAGAAATTGCTGTTGGTACAAAGCGACAGTTGAGCGGTCACAAAAGAAATTGGTGATATTGGAGAATGTGAAAAGAGTTCCATTGTTGCCCAGACGGGCCCATCTTTATCGGAAAACAGTGTCACACAGTACGCCAATTTGTTCAACTCTCGGTGTGACTGAATGCACAAAGACCTGTTCTGTCATCAAGTCGATTTAATTAATGAACTCTAACAACATAGACACATAGTCCAAACCAAAACAAAAATCTATTCGGGGGGAAAAAGAAAAGCTCTTGGTACCCTTTCCAACAGGCCATCAGATAATCTCACCATCAAACAGGAACACTTGTTCCTTAGCCCCACGAGGGCTGAGCATGAAAACACTTCTGTTGAAAAGTAATTACAGACGCTCCCCGACTTACGAACATCCGAGTTGCGAACAACGGTACATATGAACATTTTTACGGGTATGTCGAAAAAGAAAAGAAAAAGTTAGATTTTGTATTGCGCACCTTTTTCCGAGTACAGTACAGGTGTAGTGCTTCTTTCCGCCGCTAATACCGACGTGAGGCGCTGTGAGAGCTCGCCCAGCATCCACCCCGAATCCGGCTTTCTCTGCCCAGTTGTTAAATATCTCGTGCATCCATTATTCAATATGGTTGGTGAAAAGCGAAAGGCTTCTAGTGAGAGTGGAAGTGTAAAGAAGAGGCAAGCCATTTCATTTCAAATGAAAGTGGCAATAATAAAGAAGCTTGATGCGGGTGAGAAAATGGTGAGTGAGCGTTGCACGTGCATACAACATGAATCGTTCGACCATCGGTACCATTTATAAACAGAAAGATCGCATAATGGAACACGTGAAAGGTGCAGTGCCGATGCAATCGACGATCATTAGCAGGTAAACATACTTATATAAGCCTTAAACATACATTCCATACAAAATATAGCACTGAAGCAACTTACGAACGAATTCACCTTACGAACGATCGTTCGGAACGTATCTCATTCGTAAGCTGGGGAGCGTCTGTATTCTCAAAATTAAAATTTCCAAAGAAGTTGAGACATAACATGGCTTCTCTGTCTATCTTCGTCATCCTTTTGTGAGAATCATAGTTTTCAGAAGTATTTTACTCGCCGCCATGGATATGAGGATTACTCCACAGTTTATTTATCCGCACTATTAGCCAGCCGAAGCTTGTTGCTCGCAAGTGCAGCCAAAGTGGCGTCACACTTATCTTGACCACCAACAAACCTTTGTGCGACTGTCCCTGGCGGTTTTGATGAGGCAAAAAAACCTGCAAATTTTGCCTCACAAACTGCGATGCGAAATCGCGTTTTTCTAGCTTTGTCTGTTTGTCCTTATCTATGTTGATTCAGGCTGCAACTGTGTCTACCATTACATTGTTGATACAATAAATCCGTAATCATCAAGCCACAATTTCATTCATTACAGTTTAGAGCAGTGGTTCTTAACTTTGTTAGAGGTACCGAAACCCAACCAGTTCATATGCACGTTGACCGAACCCTTCATTAGTGAAAAACAAAAATAGGACTTTTTACCAATTCAAGACATTAAAAAAAACACATTTATTAAAAACAAAAAAGTAAATAAAATTGCATGGCATAAGTATAGTTTTTTTTTTTTTTATTGTATGATGTACTATTGCAACAGTCACATGGTGATTACTGATGACTGAGCGAGCCAAATTTCCCGCTGTGCTGATTGGACAAGCAATGTAATGTGATCATCTGCAGCCAGCGATGGCCAAGCGGGCATGTCATAACTAACTGACATGTTGAGTCGGGTATGTTAGCCTCCATGGCAGAGGCTCCGGCGAACCCCTAAGACAGATTCACCGAACCCCGGGGGTTCGATTGAACCCAGGTTAAGAACCACTGGTTTAGAGTAATGATTATGTTGTGCAATTGAACAGGATGCAGAATTCCTGATATCCTATGACTTAATATGCTGTAACTGTTCCGCTGTAATGTTTTTGTGAATTTTTTTTAAAAATGCAGAGATTTAGATAAATTGTTCGGGAAGTGAATTTCTATATGCTGGCAGCTCTGTTCTGCAACCGTGTGTCTGTGTCTCCAGCAACAGCGAGAGCATTTTTAGTCAAATATCTTGATTGTTCTCCAGTACGCCGTATACTCCCCTGGATAAGAGAGCTATGGAGAATACTGATGAGGACACGACGACGGACGACTGGTCTCTGGAGCAGCCTTTAGCTCAAACCAGGACCACAGCCATAGTGGAGGTGAAGGGGGCCGTCAATGTGGTGCTTACACCCCTCGTGGCTGAATGCTTAGACAGGTAGGAAACTGTCATTTGTCCTGTTGTTAAATTTTTTTTAAATGAAGACGTCACCAGTCAGCAGCAAGACATCTCTGGACACCATTGTGAATATTTTATTGCTCATTAGGTGTGAAAACTACAATCATGTTTATTGATGTAAGATATCTTGCCTCAGGCTGAAGTGTTGCCCCTATCTCTCCTGACAGTGTGTTTCAACTTGGATTTAAGTTTCGCAGCAGTTATGACTTTGCAAGACTGCTTTACCAGTATTGCTGGTGCCAGTATTATCATTCTATTGTTGTGAAAGGAAATGCTTTGAAATATCTGGCCATGTTACAGCCCATGTTTGCATTTTATTGGTTTCAGGTATATCGAGTCTATGGTCCACTTTGCCAGTATTCGTCATCCTGCAGCCATTCTAGATGACCTGCATGGGAAAGTTCTCAATGAGGCTTACCAGATCAGCAAATCTACAGTTACTGAATCTGTAAGTAAAACAAGAGTACAAAGGGGAAATCACAATGGTTCGAATGACTCTTTTTTTAAATATGGCTTCTTCATCCGCTAAGTTTTAAAAATGAGGGTAGTTTTCTGTCCTTTGGCTGCAGTCTCATTGTTGTGAATCTGGATCTACGCAGAGCCAAGCATTCAAACAGGAACACAAGCTTTCCAAGAATGAGGGCACGACCCACGGCTCCCTCAATATCTCTCATGGACAGACGGACCTGTCTGTCAAACCAGATAATGTGAAAATCAAGGGCCTCCAAGCTAATGTCTCCATCCCGAAGGTAAACGTCAGGCCACACAATTATGAGAGGTTCAGTGTTTTGGAAAATATCTGATAAACAGCTAACGCCGTCATCAGCATAGTAAATATATTTTACATTAAAATTAGCAAAGTTCTTTCTTGTTGCGCAGTACTACAAGAGAGAAAGTTTGGTGGTCATCGTATGAATACCAAACTATATATTTGAAATCGCCCCACCTACCTCCCCCAAGCATTAAGCGCTCCTCAAAAAAATAAGCAACTTTGCTACTTTCATACCGAGATATTCCGTTGAAACTGTATTCTGAAAGTAAAAACTAACTTGGAATGGTAAACAGTGGCTGTCATTTACACCAGGGGTCCCCAACCTTTTTTGGCCCACGGACCGGTTTAACGTCAGACAATATTTTCAGGAACTGGCCTTCAAGGTGTGGTGGATAAATCAGAGATGAAAGTCCTCCGGATTTTCCCGGAATTACGGGTTTTTCAAATTTTTATGAAAATTTCTCCGGAGAATTGAGGAAAATTTGCATAAAATTAATCCGGATATTAGTTGACAACATTGAACGAAGACGCGTTTGAGTTCGTTGTATTGCTTTCACGAGCCTAGCCATATTGAGGCACTAACACTAGTAACAGTAAAGACATTTTTGTTTGTGTAATAACGACAGAAGACATGATGGCGCTTGACTAATGGTTTAGTAGAACGAATGGCAACTCGCAACAACAGTAGCAAGCGTCATTTTGCCTCTTGGGTTATACCATCTCAACTAGAACGTGGGGGATAGTCCCCAAACAATTTTCGTCTCTTTATAAACACACCCGCTAAACCCCAGTGGAA